GCACCCGATGCCCAATGAAATTGATGCACCAACATTTACATTGTCGTTATTATTATTCACATTTCTTGAAATCTCAGTTGCTGAATTGTCACTCTCAAGTACATTGTCATTATCCCTTCCAGTTCTCAAATATTTTTCTAAAGCACCACTTTGTTTTTGCTGTTCTTCTTTTGTTTACACTGATAGCATTTTGGTTTTTCTGTCAGACATTTTTTCGTGCCGAAAATAAGAACCTAAAGAGTAGGTAGGTAGGTATACAAAAACGCACTACACCGAATTTATGCAAGTTTTACGTGAAAAGTCTGCGAGTTTTATAACCTCGCTCGCACTTGTAACGATAGACGAGACGCCAACCGTTCAAAGTAACCCATGCGTATTAGCCGACAATTGGTCATTTTCGCGCGCCAACAAACAAACTAGTTTGGTCCGCTGTAATGTTCCGTTCCGGATGCGTCTGTCGCCGACATTTTATAGGTCTGTTCGTACGAAAATCATAAACCAGTCAGTGAATTTCATTGGTTGAAACTAGTTTATAATATATTTGGAAATCAAATTGTATTTCGATATCCAATAATAACACAATCAGGAAAGAGATAATCAAACTATTTGGTAATAAAAAGAGAATAATATTCTTCTTACCAAATAATCCAACAACATCACAAATTACTGATTTAGTAAAGGAATACATGCCGCCTGGTATTTATTGCCTTCACTTCCTAAATAAGTCTTTAGAACCTATTGTGATACGAGCATTACAAGAATCGTTTAATTCGAATTCGTTTACTTTGTACATCTCGAACTCCTTATTAGAAGACATCACAGAAGTTGATCTTCAACAAGAGAAAATTCAGCAATATCATGAGACTAAAACCACTCATAGAGGAATCACTGAATGTTGCAGCCTTAAAGAAAAGATTCTATTGGCCCAATATCGAGTAAGACGTATAGAATTATGTCAAAGTATGCGAGATATGCAATAAAACCAAGTATGAACGTCAACCATACAAAATCATATTCAAACCAACACCCATTGGTACGAAACCCTTCGAACATATCTATATTGAGACGTATATAATCAATAACCAGAAATTTCTGACCAATATTGATAGCTTTTCAAAATTTAGTCAAGCCTCTCCTGTAAATACGAAAACAGTTGTAGAGATATCGTCACAGTTATTGAAATATTTTAGTGCTCATGGAATACCTCAAAAAATCACATCAGATAATGGAGCAGAGTTCAAAAATTCTATAATGACAGATCTTTGTACATTATACATAATTGAGTTTCATTATACAACTCCAAGAAACCCGAACTCGAATAGTCCAATCGAAAGATTCCATTCGACACTACGTGAAAGTATAACGAGTTTAAAACTCCAAAACCCGAATAAGAGTATTATTGATCTAATGACAATCGCTATTGAATTATAACGACAGTGCTTATAGTACAATGAATCACACACCTCTTCAAGTGATTAAAGGAGATTTGAATTATGCCATACCAATTGAACAAACAGAAAATAAACTAATAACTGACTATATAACAAGTCTGGCAGAATCCCTTGCAAATTTGAATAAAGAAATTCAAGAAAAATTATTAGCGAAACAAAAAAGTCTTTAGAATCGCACAATGAAAATCGTGAACCCGAACCAGAATTGCAAGATCCAATCTTTGTAAAACAAATTAATAGAGAAAAGATAAGTCCGTGTTATGATAGCAAAACACAGAATCGCTTTGCTAAACAAAATATTAAACGACAATAATTTATTTCAGGTACTCCGAGATGAATCCTTTAGTATTCCTTACTCTCGTTGGAGTCACCCAAGCGTATACATTGATGACGGTAGAAAATCCTATCTTACCAATTTCTTTAGGAACTACTTACGTAACAACATAACACGGCCTATTATCACATAAACACGACAATTATCATACAAAAAAACGAAACAAAAGAGGTCTATTAAATTTCATGGGCACAGCACAAAAATGGCTTTACGGAACCCTAGATGCTGAAGACGGCGCAAGATATGATGCTTATATCCAGACGCTCAATGATAATCAAAAGACTCTCAATGAAGATCTAAAAACACAAGCTCAAGTATTGAAACAAGTTACAAAAACATTTCACGATCAATTTCTATCTATTGAATCTAACCAAAAGGTTATCACAGGAAAATTACAAAATATTTCCTTGGAAAACCAAAATTTCCACTCAATGTTAACCTTTAATCTAATATTGAACAATATCAATATCCAAAGTAATAAAATAAGGAATCTAATTGATCATGTGCAATTTGCAATAAATTTTGCACAATAGACCGATCTCCTATTACCTGGACTGCGCGCGTCGCTTGTAGGCTACAGGTGAGCGTCCAATGGGAAGCAAGTTTGTGACAGGCTTGCGTCATATTCTTATTCAGGGGCCAGTTCAGAATGAATCATTCCTTCTTTCTTTGTAACGTGTAATTTGACAAAGAGCAAACTAATACTTTACATATTACTTGAACTCACCGCAGTTTTTTTTAAGGTTATGTTAGATTATACTTGACATATTCCTTTGCAATTTCATTGAGCGATGTTGCCGGATGAAACATTTATCAAAATAAAAGTGCAAACGATGTTCATCCACTTTAAAGCTCATCTTTTGTCTGATTTAAGGCATTGTAAAACACTTGACATTATATCACTTCTTCAATGTTATAATGTTCGATTTGCATTGTCTACATTTGTTCTGCAACAATACAATCTGGCTACACTGCAGCCTACGAGTTGCGCGCGCATGTCATCTTTTATTTCTTTCTAACTTGTATTTATTACAATTAAGCTCTCTTTTTCTAATTATACGAGATAGGTCTATTGGGAATAATGCATTATACTATTTTACAGCATAATGAATCAAATCAAATATTAACAAATATACCCAAAAGTCAGCAAATACCTTTTGATAATAAAATCAAGTATTATGAGACAATGGAAACTCAAGTAAAAATCCAAAATGAGTTAATTATATATATTATACACATACCAATGATTGATCCCTAGCCCTTTATATTGTATAAAATATATCCAATTCCTGTCCAAGAACTTACCATTAGGAATAAGTACCCTTACCTATCACTTACTACGGACATATACTACAATAATTTATGGGAATGCCCGAAAGTCGAAAATGTGTATCTCTGTAACCAAGAAGAGCTGAAGCAAGAAGAATCATGTGTCTATGACCTGATTACTGACCTACCACAACAATGTCCTTTCACTAAAGTGAAATATGAGAAACCAACAGTGAGACAACTCCCGAATGGACAACTATTATTCATCCCTAAGAAAAGTCTGACGATAGTTATTCAATGTGACAAGACAAACCATATGGAAATTATAACCAATCCAACGCTAGTTTCTTTTGAAAAATGCTTTGTGAAAATACAAAATCAAACATTTTCAAAAACCAGCGAGAACTTCAATTTTGAACTGAAGATTCTAAAAATAGACATCCCTGAACTTTCAGAGAACGAAATAAGATTGGAACTTCAAGAAATCAACCAAGAAGCCTTCAAGATAACGAAACAGATAGGAGTTCACAATCTAAAAGAATTGTCTTTTGAAAACTCTTATTTGAACACATATGTAATCATAGGTTTAAGTCTTGCTATTTTATTTATAATTTTATTGTTTTACTGGCATTGCTATATCGGCATTGAATTCTTATTTAAACCAGCGCAGTCCCATAAGCAACGTTCATCCGAACGTTTTCCAAGGGTTTCCAGACAAAAATTGGACATTGGGAACTTAATTGAAACGATTAAATCAAATCTCCTGTCAGTTTTCAGTGTCAACAGTGTCAATGAAATGGTTCCATTCTCAACAACCATGAACAAAACTAGATCATGTTTAGGTTCCTACATGAAAAAGTTTAAATTTTAGGAAAAATTTAGAGAAACAGAAAAATTTACTATTGATACAGGAAAGAAATGGTTACCTACATCAAACGGCCTTTGAACTCAAAATAATTCTAAAAAAACAAAATAACATCTGACTCTCGGGGCTATAAAAGCTTTTCATGGAAACAAATTTTAGAATTTCAGAATCTCAGTACTTTTAACTAGTCATTCAAGTAAAACATTTCAAACTAGCACATAATTAATTGATAAAATATTGTCTGGAGACTCAGAATCAAAAATCAAAACCAAATTCCTTATTACCGCTTAGAGCAGTTCACATACTAGATCACAGTAATAAAATCTCTTAAAAAACATAATCAGTGTAACATAATAAGTTATCTAGAAATAGGTCATTCCTCAGTTGAAAGAAATTGTAAAATACAAGTTATTAACCCAGGAATACAATTAGGTATATAACGGAATCAAACAGGTACCTACATGGAAAATTTAAAAAAAAAGCATGACAAAAAAGTAACATACCCATTACAATTATCAATCTGTAGATTGGCTAAACATGAAAGACGTTTTTCAAATACCTATACTAAATGAATCACAAAATAAATCTATCACCCTTCTTTATCACATCGTTAGCCATTCTACACATTTTAGTCAATGGTAAATTCATCCCACTTAATGAAAACTAACAATAAAAATATCCCTTTCCCTAGCATTAATTGCAGATGAATGCCAACCTTTGCAAGGTGCTCTAGAGAATCAATAAAAACCATTTAATATTTTATACAAAGTTTGAAATGTCAAAATATTTTCTTATATCCACCAAACAAGTAAGATTTAGAAGTTCCATGATTTCAATCCAGTGAATGAATTTCCTCAGAAAGGACATGCAGTTTCAGACCAATTCCCCTAAGAAATCTTCGCTGGACTCTCTATAATTTTTCACAATGAACAACATAATGAGGATGTCATCACATGCAAGTGACACACTCTAAAACTGAGTCTACCAGTGCACAATACATTTCTTCGAAAATAAAGATGTCGCGTAGGTTCCTTCGTGAGTGAGCTTCCTAATTCTTCCAAAAAAAATTAAACTAGTTTTATAATAATTAAACAAGAATTTTATTTACATAAATCCTACTTACGACTACCTATTTAATACTGATCGTGTTTATCAGTCAAATGTTAGAAATAAATTAAAAATAAATAAAATATATTCTAGGTATTATCATAACTCAGTTCTGGATTAACAACATAGGGACTATTTGGAGTCTTCGAACAGATATTTCTCTACACATCTATTCACAAATATTTATCATCATCAGTAAAATTATATTACCTCAAACACAATTTTTATCGATATTCAATTTTCGCCTGATGAGATATGTGTTTTTAACAGAAAACAAATAAAATGCAGAAACACCAGAATAAATTATCTCATAATTTTGGCTGCTCGTTCCCTGTCGCGCTCCACTTCAATTGAATGCATGCGTTTTCTGTGGGAAAAGCAATTTCCTGAGCTTGCGAAGGCTTTTGGACAGTAAGGACATTGGTAGGGCCTTGCACCTGTGTGCTGATTTATGTGGAACTAGAAAAAAAAATCTCATTGTAGTTATTTACTTCAATATACACTTGGCCAATCATAAAACTGGTACAGGCAATAGGTATTTTTTGAAATTTGCCCAATGTGAGTCTGGTTTAACAACAAAAAGTTTCTTCTGGAAACATTATTAGACAGTTTTTGTCAATGTCGAATGTCATATGGATTTGTGGCGGCATTTGTTTGATTTATGGCCATTTCCACCAAACTATAACTAAGCTTTGCTTAACTATGAAGCCCTTAAAAGTTAAGGGACACTCAAATATAATTTCGTTCCACCATAGTTTTTATGTGTAAGCTTAGCTAAGTGTCGTAAAGCTTTGGCAACATTGCATTTCAGGTGAAAGATTTGCGTACTTTTCATTTTTACACTAGTCGTGTCAATGTTATCTGTCATTCGACGCTTCCCGCTAATTTTTCAAGATTATAAATATTAATAATAATAGTTGTGCTGTTGTCCCAGGTTCAGTTTATTTCACAGAGAAGAGGTTTAGATATTGGTAGTTTATCTTGCATTGTGTGTGAACGAACACGAAAGTGCCTAGAGCAGCGTGGAGTCGGGAAATAGAAACAAGCAGGGAGAGTTTATCCAAAAGAAGCCGGACACCAAACTAAATAATAAAGGAAAAAGAGCTGATAATTATCGTTAACATCAAACATAATCGAAAATTTGAAGAAAAAAAACACCGTACAGTACACCACAGTATTTCTGTGGCCGAAAAAAATAGGCTTTAGGAGAAAAAAAAAAATGCGAACTAGGTACACCAGAAATAAGAAAATTGACATAGTTCTAATTTTATCTCAATTCAATTTCAACGTTTGTTATGTGAACAAAAGCATATTATGCAAATGGCTTGCGCTGATCATCGCCACTTTGTTAAGGGAGGAATAAGCCTAGAAATTTCTGGGCTCAGTTAAGCTTATCTTAATGAGACTAGGTTAGACTGGTGGAAACAAAATTATAATATAAGCGGCACTTAACGTTAAGTAAACTTAAATTTGCGTTGGTGGAAACGGCCATTAAAGATCACACTCACTTGAATCTTTTTGTATTTTTGATGATAAAAAAAGGTCGATTTACACAACACAATACATTAAAAAAATGAATATACCTACCAGTTTTATGATTGGCCAAGAGGGAAACTTCGGAGGGAACCAGCTACTAAAATGTGTTTTTTTTTTTTTAAAGATAAAAGTCAAAGTGACATTATGTTGGCAATACAATGTAAAATTGTCAATGTTTTCAAATTTTTTATGTAGAAAAGGCTTGTGTTGCCAACATAGTTACTAAATTTTTGACTTAAGGAATTTAAAAAAAAAAAAACAGACTTTAGATAGTTCGATTAGTCTTTCTCCCCTATACCCAGTTCCGACGATCGATTTGCACGTCAGAATGTATAGGCATAATGGAAAGTTGAATAATCTCGAAAACAATTTAATAAAGAATTTGGCCAAAACGAGAATTATCTATAATGCAGTAAAGTACTGTTTGGAGAAGGAATACAAACGTTTTCTTTTAACGAAAATATCCATTTGAAACCGAACATTTTAAATTGGTAAATATTAGGTAAAGTTAAATGTAACTACAATTTGTTGCATATTACCTACTTGTAGGTTTATTTCAGATTTCATATCATGTTTGCGTAGCTCATTGATTGCCTCTTATTTGATTTGGGTTGATTCTCGTAACAGTTCGAAACCGTTCAAAGTATTGGAGAGGAACTTGCGTTTGCAGTGAATGACTATTGCTATAGCTTCTCTTGGGCTGGTTTTGAATTGCTCGTTTTTGGGTACAGGAAAAGTTATCAACTAGTTTTACTGGTACATGGAACATACAAGGAGTAGCTCGATGGTCAAGATTAGCAAAAAAAAGTCTTAAAACTCTAATCAGGTATCTCTCGGGTACGCTGTACACTCAAGCAACACCTATGGAAATTGAGGTTGGAAGAAAGTGGCAAATATTGTGAAGATGGAGAAAAGATGAAACGCCTCATCACCTTCTGCTGAACTGCAATGCCGTTAATCGTATGAGAAATCTGGGACGAACCCTTATACAGTTAGAAAACATCTCATCCCACCACCGGATATTCTTAGATTCCTTGGGAACTTAGGACTAGAGAGAATGCTTCCAGTAGAAAACCTGAGAAGGTTTCTACAATTCTACCAGGCTATTTCAGATGCGGAACGTTGTCTTGTTTTATAACCTAATGTGCCGGGCTCAAAATTTGGTACAGACTAATGATATCTAGATTTCTGATAAAGAGTTATGCAAATACCCGTTTGACCAGCGAGTCCAAAAATGCTGTTGCAGATTGCATGAAAGCTGCCATCTTGTTAACAGATTGAGAGGGATAGATTTGAATTTAGGTTTTGGAGGTGCAGTAAGAGTATTTAGTCAAAGAATGATCATGGGTTGAAGCCCTTAAATGGCGAGGGTCAGTGTTAGTTGAAGTGTTACGTCGAGATTTGACAATTGCTTCTATCTGGGTAAAAACCGTATAGAGTTTTTCATAAGTAATAATTTCTGTTCCTAGTAGGTGGTCGAGTAAGATTTGATTTGACAGACTTGATATTGGATTTTCGAAGCCCACCATAATGGTGAGTAGAAGGGGGTTGAGGTGCCAGCTGAAGGATTTCCTAGCAGCTGCTTCAGAAGCGTACCTATTTAAAATTTTATTGGTTTTTAGAGAATTATAATATTAATAATATTACCAAAATATAGAGACCACTTACAGTAACTTATGTTTAATTTTTTACATGTTTTGGACTCAAAAAGTTTGAACTGCATCTTGTAGCATTGCAAATGCTCCTGTTCTTTTTTCTTTCAAATATAATTTTAAAAGTTAAATTATTACCTTTAAGGGTATTGGATGCGCCTCAATGCCAAAATATTTTTTCCTGCGCGAAGCACCTAACGCAGTCTATCATTGTATTCTTCCGCTCCGATTAATACTCCTTACCTTGCGTTCGGTATTTTGCTCAAAGTGTAGAGCGAGCTGAGCGGAGCCGTAATCACGTGACCAGCGAGCGAACGGAGCAGTTGAACGCTGTATAAAAGTACCGGAAATTTTAATAAACGAACGCGAATGAGGCTGCACCGAGTACACTTTTTAAATAAACGAACGGTAAAGTCAAGCTCGGAGAACTCAGACCAAAATAACGAACGCACGGTTAGTAGGAATGAGATGAATGAAACAAGGAATACATTGCATTCCTAATTTCAACCTAATTTTTTAACAGTTGAAGTTATATCAACTTTCTTTTTTGCATTCGATTTATAATATAGAGACGAATGGCGCTATCTTTTTAGAAATCCGATAATAGAAACAAGTTCTCGAAAAATTACAAAAATGTAATTTAAACAGAAAAAAAAACAAGAAATTTAATCAATTTATGGTGTTTTTTTTAGTTAGCGCCATTCTTATATGTGTCAGCAATACAATGGCGCAAACCAGAATTCCAAAAATCATCTAGTTTTTTTTTGTAGAAATTTAATGGATTCTTCTTGTCATTTTGTCTGTCTCTGTTATACCTGCAGCAAACCCCATGGCTCTTTCCTCCGCCTGTTTTTCTATACATTTCAAATCGCCGTGATGAAGGATCCAGTGCCGACCGTCTCAACATTAGCCCAATGGAATGATCGCGATGAACCTCGCGTCTTTATTAGTATTAACTTATTGGGTAGTTGTATAGTTCGACGTGCATTACAATATAATATTTTAAACGGCGCATTCAATACCCTTAATGTTGACAGTCTAGGGACTAGCATTAAAAAAAAAAAGGGTTCTGCTGCTAATAATATCAGCAATGGACCTCTTGCATGCATTTTTTTTATTTGCTTATTGGAAAGAGGAGTCAAAATAAAGCTCAACTGTATTTTTTTCAGATTTTTTTCGGACTTGCAAAGGCTTTAAATTTCGATTTGAAGTTCAAATTTCTTGGTGCCGTGACGTCACGGCACCAAATTTCTGATTGGTCAATTTTATTCAGTGTTGCCCAGATGTCAAGAATTTCATGTAAACTTTTCCTGGGGGCGACAACTAAATCGATATATCGAATTCACAGATTTGTAAGTATTGGATATGGAATCGATTCTCATCCCTATGGAAAACTTAACCCAACTTTTCAATTTATTATACCTTAATGATTATTTATTTTTATTTATTTATTATTAGACTCTCCAAAACAGACAGAAGGCAGAGAAGGCACACAAACCATCAAGAAACAAACAATAAACCCGAGCATAAGGCCATTATGTCGTTCATAATTGAATACCTTAGGTACTCATTTACTAGTGTGTGCTTCTAAATTTTAGAGGTTTCTACCTAATAAGCATATAAGGGAATCATTATTTGTAGAAGGTTGCTCTACTCCACCTGCATTTTACTAATACCTATCTACCAAGTACCTAAAGTCTGTTTTTTTTTTTTAAGATAATTCCCCAAGTCAAAAATTTAGTAACTATGTTGGCAACACAAGCCTTTTCTACATAAAATATTTTACAATTTTTCATTGTATTGCCAACATAATGTCATTTTGACTTTTAAGATGGGTTTAGCCAATTCTTAATGGATAATGCACGATTTTAATTCATAATTGATAATGCGTAATTCATAACGCGTAATGCATAAGAGAAAGGTGGTGTTTATAGAACGCATAATTTTTGTGCATTAAGAATTAACAAGACAGCTGAGTTTGACATTTGTTATTTTTCATGATATAATAAATAATGAAATAAATAATCATTTAGGCTTTATATTATCAGGAAAAATCTCATTTGTATAATTAAAATCGGAAATACTCGATTCCGGATCAAAAAACATTGAAAACAACAGGAAAACACACAACCAGATTTCGAGGTTATGAAGCAAAACCAAAACAAAAACAAACTTGGAAATATACGCTTGCGCTCTAGCGTTTTTTGCACAATGCATAATCGATAATTCATAAAAGTTAAAAGTTGGTCAACTTTATGAATTACGCATTAGATATGCACTAAATTATCCACTATCCACTATGCATTGTATAAACGGGTGTATTTAAATGTGAACCTTTAAAAATTATCGATTATGAATTAAAATTGTGCATTATGCATTATTAGTTGGCTAAACCCACCTTTATCTTTAAAAAAAAAAAACTTCACCCTTCATGTGAATTTTTTTCCGAAAGCATTGGCATTATCTCAAGTCCTCCTGGCCAGTTCCCGGAATCGGTTTTTACAAACTCTTCCATCCTCCATCGCACAAACAAAATAAACAATAATTACCTTACTATTAAAATTATTATTATTTTTCTTAGTGGTTTATGGGAAATAAAACACGAGTATAATTTTTATGTGTCTGTATTCCATACCTTCCAGTTTCCCTAAAGACCTTTTCAAATTTTCCCAGGCAAAAACATAATTTTTCTTTTTTCTTCAAATTACACTGCCCCCAGCCCCAGCCTGCTGTTTTTTGTTGTTAATTATTGTTTATTTTGTGATTATAAGTAAATTGGCCAGCCAGGGGTCACTGACCCACGGTAAACAAAAATCGCTTTTATCGTTTTCGTACTTTATACTGTGCGGGATTAGTGCAGATATCGATTTCTTTGTTTAATTCGCATTTATAGACAAGGAAAGAAAATTGTCGATACTAGTCGATACTTCAATTAATAGATGTCGTTCTCCTCAAGTTTCAAGGCAAAAGTAGAGCTGTATACCAAAGTCAATACGCAAAGCGATTTTGATAAATATGTGCCTCCTTTTTTGTCCGATGTGTCCAAAAAGAAAAAAAAAATATTCGTTTGGAACATGGAAATTTGGCAAACCTTAGACAAACAGTGATTTTTGATTGGTGCAAAATTATACCGCAAAATTCAAATAATCTGATTTTTTTTCTTTCAATTTCTGACTCCAAAATTTTTTAAAAAATTAACCAATCATACTTTTATGTAGTACCTACATCAAATACACTTTCGTTACAGATAAATTATATACCTAATTTTAATTGAGTGCAAGAGGTCCATTATTAAACTAGAGGGCACGATTTTCATTTAAGTTTGAACTACCGGTTTAGTACTGTTGTTAATGGAATGGAGGCTTGCATAAAGTTTCATTAATAACTTTTATTTTATTTTTTCTATTTATTATCTATTTTATTATCGATAACATGATTGAATTTTTACTGATATGATATATAAAAAAATTTAATTTCGTATTCTTGACACTGAGGTGGAATAATTAATTTTCGATTTATCAAATTTATTATTGATTTATCTTTACCTAACTTTTATTATTGCCATGTTTTAGGAATCTAAGTGTCATTATCCATAATCAGTAAACTGAACAGAAGTCAAGGTTGGAAATGTTCTAACATTAAAATTATTGAGTAAGTACCAACATCGTCAAAAATTGATAAATTTTTAACTTAGGTCTATTATATCTCCTGACCATTTGACCCAACTTTTGCAAGTTGATTTTATTGAATTTATTCTTTGAGCAGAGGCTGACCATATTCATCAATACAATTTTTTTAATTAGTTTTCTGGAAACTTGAATCTTTTACTTTCATGATCATGATATGGCCAGCGACTGGTAATGAACTTATATGGCAAATATACTGAGGAAGGTACATTGTAATATATATATTTTTTTTGAATTTGATGAATCTGATTGAGAGTTAACCTCTATTTATTGATTTAATATTTCAAATCATACTTGATTTTTAACCTCACTGTGAAAATATATACTATTTTAATTTGAAAATTGCTCGAGTGTTTTATTGGTTTTACCTATGTCAAGATTTGGTTGAGTTATATGCCTTATTTATTTCCTTTTTAGAATTATCAATTATCGTTTGCAGATTTTTTTTTTTTTAGGTGTGTTTCTGAATTTTTACACTTCAATATTTTATGTAATTTAATTATTATATATATATTTTTTTAAATCAGTGGCGCCCTTGCCATTCTGTACTTATTAAACTATTGACCCACCCCTAATAATTATGCACGGAGCAATCTGAACATATTATGGGCCTCCTCATAATTTGTTAACAAAAGGGGTTACATAAATTAGCACCTAACTTAAGGGGCCTCGAAACATCAGATATTAACATCATTAAAATATTGCACAGTTTGGTATTATCTTTTTTCTAAAAAAATTGATCAATTTTAGATGTAGGTACTTACTCAATAATTTTAAATTTGGAGCATGTTGTCCAACCTTAACTTCTGTTCAGGTTGCTGATTGATTATCATTGATAAAATATGAGTACATTCTTTAAATATGGCGGTACTAAAAGTTTAGTAGAGATAAAATCTATAGTAAATACGGTAAATCAAAAATCGGAAATAATTATTTAAAGTTCACTTAGGTGTAAAGAATATGAAATTGAAAGTTCAAATACATATTTAAATGTCATATCAGAAAAAAAAATCAACTAATTTTGTTAATTGATCATAAAGTAGATTTCATTAAAAAAATAATAAAAGGCCACGTTCACCAGATACAAACGTTGGTAAACGCATTGCGATTGTTCTGCTGAACGCTACGTTGAATTTGTGTTGAAACCAAACATGTTTTGCAAACGGTCGCCATTTTTGCAAGCATAAATTAAAAGTGTTTATAATTTTCAACACTAGTGTTTTGTGTGGTGACATGACATTCAGAGGGTGACGTTCTATTATTGAAAAGTTGAATCGTTCAGCAGAACCAAGAGTTTGCCCAACATATTCTGTTGGTATTTGTGAACTGTTTACAACTTGTTTCAGTTCTGCTGAACGTAGCCAAAGTTATAAATGAAACTCTATACAAGGCTCCATTCAGTCCATTCCAACAAAAAGGTAGAGCACGGTAGTCGTCCATTCTCGGCCACCTGACGAGGGAATTTTCAAGTGGAAGTTGCAGATTCTAGCAAGAGAATTACTGAAAATATCTTCAATCATTTTTGCGAATTTATTTGTAGCCATTTCCACGTCCATTGTCTCAACCACATCCCGCCAATTTGTATTTTTTATCAAATTTCCAAAAGTATTTATATTAACTCTCTCGAAGGTCTTTGCAACTATACTATGTTTAGGGTGACTTTGTTGTTATTAGTTCCACAATTCGCCACGTGGTATAATAAAGCTGTTGAAGACAGTCAAGAAAAGAATCAGCAGATAGATTGGAAGCTAACTAAATGAATTACTTTCACTGGCAAACAAATATAAGCGATTTGAGAACTTTCGATCCTCGGACTGGCCATAGGAATCTCAAATCGCCCGGCAAATTGGAGAAAATATTGTGAATGAGTGATATTGAAATTGTGAATAGAAATATGTTCCAGAGGTTGATGATGTTTGAGATCAAAAAATGGGTTGTTTGAACTCCGGAATGTAAGTGGATTGAATGGAAAGATGAGTTAAAGTTCCACGGCTGAGAAGTAGAGCAGGAAATTTACTAACGCACGTAAAAAAGCATGTTGGAGTGCGAAGCTCTAATTAAGGCCCTAGGAATCGAGGCGGCCCATAAGGTTTCCGAAACAAAGATCAGAGCTGTGTCGATTCGTGAAGAAAAAGAGCTAATTAGAGAAATATTTCTTGTGGCTCGAAAAAAAAAAGGGATAATGTGAGTAGAACTTTAGGAATACCTACATTTATTTCCACGAAAAGATTCACTTTCTTTTGAAAAATTGTTGAATAGAATACGTTCAACAAAGCATAACATCGAATTATAAAGTTCCAGTAATTTTTTTTTGCGTCGATAAAACAGAAAATTATTGATTACTGGTGAGACATATGCAATAACGAGGTAAGATTATTATTATTATAGGGGTTTTTGACAGTAGGCGGAAAAACCGGTAGACTGTCATTAGTTCTTGTGCTGGGAATGTTACTTGCCAGTACACTATTTTACGGCCTATCACTAAAATTAGATGTAGTTAAACAAGAAATCGATTCAAGCAATGTGTCGATAAAGTTGAGATCCTGCGTGGCTGTAACCTGGTTTTCTTCCAAATTATATAACGTCAGAAGTATCAGGATACTTGATCGGTTTCACACAAGATGATGGGGGTACTTGGTCGTAGATAAAGGCGTTACTGACCTAAGTGCGTCAACGATGAGGTAGTGAAGTGATAGTAGAACTCGGAATGGAACTAGATAATTTTGATCGCATATTCGACCTTCGTCAACTAATTGTTGATTCTACCAACCTAATTTTCCAGAGAAAAGGGTATTATTTCCAGTTGCGAACCTTATCCACAGTATAGTACATATAATAAGGATATATTGTTAGTTAGTTAATAAGGATGTTATGTAATATGTAGACATAAATATGCTATGATTTTACCTATAACTCCATCTCTCCATGCGCCGTTTTTTTTTTTCAGTGAGAAGATGCTTTGGAATGTGATTGATTCGAAAGGTTTTCCTTGCCAACACAATATTTATCCGTTTGTCTGTACGTGCAAAACAAAACAGTAAAGTCACGTACACTTACCTTTAAATCTTGATTTCTCTTAAACGTTTTATCGCACAATGGACATTTATGAGGCCTTAAATCGCTGTGAGTGATTGAGTGAGCTCTTAGCGTGCTATTTGTCGGATAAACTCTGCCGCAAACTTCACAGGGAAATTGAACGCCTTGATGGTATTCTTTATGACGATATAAATTACATTGTGTTTTGAACCTAAAAATAATAAAGATTTCAAAAAAATGTATGTCATATCGGTTATTACTTACACTCTTCCACAAATATCACATCCATATTGACCTTTCGGTCTATGAGTTTCTAAATGCACTTTCAAAGCCCCTTTAGAAGAAATATGTTTGGCACAAATAGGGCATTTATTCAAAATGGATTCGTCTTCTTGAGTTTCACCGTTGTGTGTTGTTTCACTGCTATTTACATAAACTGTTGTAAGATTTTCTTGAAATTTATTAAATATCAGGCTTAAGGTTCTTTTGGCTGAATGTACGTACATATGATCCTGTAGAGCTAAGTTCGTTGTAAAACTTCTTTTGCAAATCGAGCATAAGTAAATGATGCAAGTGTTTTCTGAGTTTTCAGTTTCTGAACCGTTTTCCAAGGAATTTGATTGTGTTTCATCGTCAGTGCTTTCTTCGTTATCATCTTCGTCTTTTTCGGAATTTGCAGCGTTTGCTTCAGATTCGTCTTCGGATTCTGTTTCGTCTAAGCAACATTGTAAAATTGACATTGGGTCCACTCTAACTTCCATTTCCATTACTTCAGTCTCATTGTTTTGGGTTACTTTCTCATCTGTGCCCTTGGAAACATTTGTAATTTAGTCGAATAGTAATTCTATTGTAAAAGGTTCTTACCTTGGTTAAATAAGTATGCAATAAAGACACACTGTTGGCTTTCGTTGCTTCTGGACTAGCTGGTGCAGATAGTATGCATCTTTTTATTTTCTCTTGGCTTTTCAATGCCATCGTGGCAAAAGAGTGAAATCCGTTAATTTTTGAAATGCAGTCTTCGCAAATCATTTTTGGCAATTTATCATTTAAACTAATCTGGAAAAAAAAAGATATTTTATCGATGCCAATAGCAACAATTTTGCAAACTTCAAAATTCGATATCTAGAAATACACCGGAATAATACAGGCTCATGAATTTGTAATATGTGAAAGATTAATGGACACGAGTATAAGAATAATGTTTTTTTCGGAGTAAAATAATTCAAAGTTTATAATGGAAGGCAAGGAATTTTTAGGAAGTTTAGTCAAACTACAACATATGCGGGCAAATTAATGGCGTGCAGGTTTAATAACGAGAAACTGTTCTGAAGCGTAAACACATAGGGGTGTATATATCGTAATTGAATTAGATCCTTCAAAAAGGTTGTTGATATTACATAGGAAATAGGCTCAAGCTCCTTGTTTTATTTCCTCTTTCTTGATGTTTTATTATTTCTTTCCTTCTTTGCATATTGTTTCGAGCAGGCGCTACAAGTAGTTGAGTATGCAAAATATGAGGACCGGCAAAACTGCTCAAATTCCTGTTCCTGTGATGTTGAAGAATAGGAAAGTACATCTTGCCGGCAGCTGGAGTGGTCCCTAACTTTCCTGCCATTTCCTAATGCAAAGTTATATGGAAAATATCACAATTTCAAGTCATTTCACAATAATTCCTATTGATTGTACCTAAGGCTTTCTTTTCAAGCACTCCAAATAATTCTACCACTTGTTGGATATCTTTGCAATTCTACTCCAAAATATACACAAGTAAAACAAGACTGCGAGATGTACAGGGTCATCCAACGACGACTGAACAGGGGCTTATTTTTGACCTTCCCTGTTTCTGTAGTTTTGAAAAAATTCAAAATAGCCAATTGGCATATTTTTTTCTGGGGAATTCAAAAACGGCACTAAAAAATCATTTGAACTAAAAACTAAAGAGTTACGCCATGGTTTAACTGTTTTTCAAATGAAACACCCTGTTTTTTATATAATTTCTGGAAAAGTCACATTTTCAACGTCTATTCTGTTGAAAATATTTGATATTCTGATAGCTGTTATTTTATTTTAATGTTTTATCTTTAACAATTTAAGCTTTACCTGTTCAATACATCTGTGATGGCGACAAAATACAAAATATGTCAAATTTGAAGATAATTCCCCAAGTCAAAAATTTAGTAACAATGTTGGCAGCACAAGCCTTTTCTACATAAAACATTTGAAAGCAGTGGCAATTTTACATTGTATGGCTATGAAAAGAGCAATGGTAACTTACGTCCACGACAAATGACAATGTTGCCTTTGCCAGAATCCTTCATTCAGCCTTGTAAATGTACGTCCAATTGTCGAACAATGTCGTGCAGTTGTAAAAAGACAAAATTAGCGTGTATTTCATTGTGTAAATGCTTAAACAATGATTGCCTAATTAAAAATTAATAATTATTTATCCCGCTTTCATCTATTTCTATTTGTATTTGCTGTTTCTTTTTGTAAATTTTTTAAAATAGGTAATTTTTTTTGATATCATTTTGTGGTTGTTTTGTTAGTAATTTTGAATCCACGACTCCTGGGATTCCGGCTCAATGGTCTAGTACAGTTTGATTTGTCACAAACTTTCAAATAATAATAATGATAATATTAAATGCACCGCTGTAGCTATGTCACATATCACCATACCTCTTGAGCAATGGACGGAAACCCAGGGTCGTGAGTTCAAATCCTACTAGCAACAGCAAATTTCAACAAACTTTTCTATTTATAACCCTGTCGTCTTTTTCACCACAAAAGCAAACTGAATTGGAACTATAATAGTCGTTAAAATCACACACATAGCATACACTCCATGGAATTCCTTTATAAGTGAGAGCTTTTCTCAGCTACAATCCATTGATAAAATGCGGTCCTCATATTATGCATACTCAAGTCCGTCTAACTCCCGGTCTATTTGTATATCAAAATTTATCGGAAGATTCGAGAATGAAAGTCTCTAGCGGGACAGATATCTACATGGGTTAGATATATACATGATATTCTCCTCTGTTCTCCACCGTCAGAACGGAGTCGTGTGTCGTCTAATTGGAGAAATATTTTTCATTTATCCGTAGAGTTGACAAGAAGCATTTCAGAATATCTATTGGTTCCAAAAGTGGGTTGAGTAGTTGAAATCAATAGTGTAAGAACGAGACAACGCATCGCCGTAATGGAAGATCAAATTAACCAGGTGCCTATACTTTATTGGGAACTGCGAAGGAGAAAAAAGGAATTAAAAGAACACGACGAACTCCAAGAAACTTTGTCAAGAGTGGGACGACAAAAATAATGAAAAGGAAAAGGACCTGAAGACTGACGACTAAAAGGAAAACCGAAAAAAGAATACAGGCGAGTTAAACAAAACCAGGAAGCGCAGGATCGGCTCCAGTAATCTAGCAGAAGAAACACCGAGGAAAAAGAAAGAAGAAAGATTTCTGACAGGAATGCTGAATTGTTTTGGTAATTTTACAAGGTAGAAATAGAAAATGGAGAGAATTCGCCATCAAACTGACAACGGAAGCAGCCAGACAAATAAATTTTGTTGGTGAGCCCTTTTCAACGTGGCTAACTACTGGTACTCTACTAGTGCAAATGGATGAGCAAAAAGCAAAAGCATTCGTACAGGCAATGCAAGAAAAAGGTGCTTGAAAATATCACTGAGACAATGCAAAACGATTACTTAGATATTATAGACAACCTGAGGTACAGAAACATGTATCTAGCTAAGTGTATCAGAACCAGAACCAGCTAAAACGCAGAGAGCAAGATCCAACGAAGACACTGCAGGAGATGGTATGATAAAAACGAAGTACCTGCTACTACTACAAGTATTAGTATATTATACGCAGTATATACATACTTTAAAAAAAAGTATTAACTATTTTCCAACATCAAGACCAACAGTGCAACAGTTAGCATTTATTATTATGCTCGAAGACTTTAAAATTATGTTAGATAAAATAATAACACCTCCGATAAAATCGGCAAAAGATACAGCCCCAAGAGAATTATTGACAGATGTCAAGTGCCCCAAGAGAATTATTGACAGAGGTCAAGTGGTCTATAGTAAATATATGAAACACAAGGTAAATCCTAAACAAGTACTAAAGAAAATCACCGATTTAATGAGAACCGGGAAAAAAAACTGAATCAGTGGCAACAAAAATTTTATAATTTATGTAAGGTTTATGAAAATCCAATTATCCGAAAAGTATTAATATATATTTGACTGTATTGGGTCATCGTCGTATAGTGTCTTCTTGCAATATAAATTAAATTTTTTCGTATTTGAGCCATTTTTCAAATAATTACTTGGTAGCACTCACGATAAAGCTGCTATAATACCAACTTCCCTAATAACGGAGCAAAAACTTCAGTTGTTAATGAAATCGAAGTATATAGATTTTTTCCAGCTGCAATACATGTTCCATTTTTTCTAATTTTCATTATAAAGTTGTATTTTCGCCATTTCAGAATCAACAAAATAATAATTCATAACTTAAGTAATTTGAAAAGTATCCACTAAACTTAATTAATTCAATATAATATCAGTATTGGCATCTATCCATAATAGTCTAAATGAGCGTAAAAATGCAAATATATGTTACTAATAAATGTACTAACGTACAGCCATCTAATACCTAATAAATTTATTTTAAAATTGTGGTAGGTTTCTTTAACTATTTTTCTTATTTTTCATTGATATTTTTAATTGAAAAAATGATGTCTATCTTGCTTTCAGCAAATAAATAAATTTCTGTCTTTCTCTAACTTCTGAAATAATTATTTTTAACTTGATGACCTAATCAATTAGTGGTTTTGTGTTTCTAATATACCTAACCTTAATTTAAATCATTACATTATTATTTGTGAACAATTAAAATCTAGAATTATTTTAATGTGTTTTGATCTATTCCCATTTAATCAGCGTGGTGTTTTATTAATGAAGTGAACACGGTATCTTTGTGTGTGTTGAGTGTTGTTTTCTGATTGGTTGGATGGTCACATTGCAGTTAAGTATAAAACACACAAGACTGGTTTTCCTAAAGGGAAAGGGGTTTCTAGAAGACCTTTTCTCTGGCAGACCGTTGAACAGGCTAGTCTATTTTCAATTTTCTATTTTTTTTTTTTTTTTTTTCCTTCAGATTTCTAGATTTTTCCTTGATATTTTTTAAATTTATTTCGCCATCAGTGTCTACTATCACTGTTGGGTTTTTATTACCTGATATCTTATCTTATCTACCTTTAAAATATGAATATTATATTTCAATTTTTTGTCTATCGTGAACCTCCATTTTGTGTGGTACCATATTTTTCTGAAGAGAGTCGATTCAAAGTTTTGGCTGATAAATAGGTATGGCTGCTTTGGCACTTGGATTTAATTGTTAGTGTGGGATTATTGGACCATTAGCTCTAGATAGAGTAGGTGTAAACCTAATTTGTGTGTCCATCCCTATCAACACGTTACTGAATCCAGGCAGAAACCTATCTAACCATTGATTGTTTGACTCTCTCATTATCGTCTCAAGAAGGAGAGTGCTGAAAGGGTGAAGTTTTTAGATAGAAATTTGGATAGGTCAAAAATCAATTTAAAAAGTTTTAATTAAAACATCTCAAGAATTTTGATAGTTCCTTGGATTTAATTTATTTCACTGTCAGCTTTATCTTGTAGTATCAATAGAAGTTACCTTAACTTAAAAGGAAAATTTATCTATTTGGGGAAAATCTAGAGATTTATTTTTTTATCTTGTTCTTTTCCTACTTTTTTTTATTTTTGCCTGTTCAGCGCGACTGCTCGAGAAGCAGCATTCTGCTCAATTATAGCGAGCATTCATTTTTTATCTTTAATCTTGCTGTATACTTACCTAATTATTGCTACTTTATTTTACATACTTTATCTTATTTTTAAACTATTTAATTGTTTTTTTTTTATTATTATAGTATATTTTTCAATGAGCGGGTAATGATGGCTATTACTCACGAAGGATGAAGTTTGTAATCATCTGAGTGAATAATAGCCATTACCC